TTTTGATCATTCACTTCTGACATTAAAAATGTTTTGTTACAAAACCATTGCATTCTCTTATGATCATATAACATATTTTTCGATTTTAGCTTAACCATCGAACTTGTTTTGAAAGAAAAAAAAAATCATTTTTGAGAATATATAATCATTGTATTCCCACAAACTCATGTAACCTAATCAATTTATGAGTTGTGATACACTTAAACTCCACATTTATTATTTGATTCTTGTGGTGGGTAAATCCTCTAGTTTTAAGATGTTTACTTATTTTAGCAAATTTTTGTTGCAGTCTTTAGTTAATTAGGAATCTTGACTTTCACTCTACCTATCAAGTACAATACTGAAATTTACAAATTTTTCGTAACTAAAATCAAAATATAATAATAAATTTTGAAATGGAGAGAAAATCCTACAACTACTATATGGAGGTTCCACTCCGGGACCCCATCAATTGGAATTTCCCAGCCTCCAGCGTAGAGCACGGAGAGGTATATAGGGAAAATCAACAATCCAAAGTGGGAATGGAATGTGCCAATGTGAATTTGTCCAGTTCCAGTAAGGATGTGGGATTTTTATTTGAAATCTAGAATTCCGAGAGATTATAAGCATTTATATATTACATCATACTTACTTACTAAATATTCCTAGAAAATTTCCCTATCCGTTTAATTTTCAAGTTGTTTCATTTTTTTATTCATTTGATGACTTTTGTACTAAACACGTATAAAACTCTCATAACACATTTAATATCCGTATTTAATGAATTAAAGTGTTAACTTTACTATTATTTAGATATTTATTTATTTTGAAAAATAATGTAGCGTTTGGTTCCTTCTTTTTTGGCTTTGGTATGTCTCATATTTTTAATCATTGGTATTGATGTTTGGTATAATCGAGATCGGTCAAAACCAATAGTGCAAGTTATCAAAACATGAATGCATATAATTTTTTGTCTTTCTTTTCTTTAAAATTATATTCTCAACTTAGTCTACAACATGTACTTTTCCGACCAATTATATTAGCATTTATATACTACATCACATTATTACAATACTTTTTTGAAGGCCCCAATAATTTTATGAAGCCTCCTCTCTGTAGTTTTATGCCTCAAAGAAATATTTCACGTGGAGAGTCATCCAAACAACCAAATAATGTTTCACTTCAACCATTAAAAAGTGAATGTAAGCACAAATATTTTTATTAACATAATTATATAAATCGTGCAATTTAATGTGTGTCTACGACACGTGTTATTCATGGAAAAAGAATTTTTTTTATAGCACCGGAAGGTGTGGTCGATTCTAATCAGTCCCTATCTTATGTGCAAAAAATGGTTTTGATGGTATGAATATTGTGTTGAGGATATTAATTATTTAGTCAAAAATAATTAATTCCTTGTCCTCCAAGTCCCTGATGGTGATCATATAAAACTATCATTCTCCATTTCACATTTAAGAAATTGATCCACATAGGTCAGAGTTGAAGAAAATTAATAAACCGGTGATCAAATTAGCAATAAGGAGACATGCTCTTTTTATAAGCAAAAAGCGTCTACTTGGAAAAGTTGTCAACATTCCTTCTGTAATCCATTTAATTTATGTTTGTTTTTCGATTTATAAGTTCTCAAATTATGGGGTCGTTTGGAAGTTGCGTATGTTAAATCGTTGTATTGTTATGAATCACTATGATATAAATGCATGAATTGATACAATAGATGCATTTAAAATTATATTGTTTGGTTGTTGAGATTATAATTTATGAATTGATTGTTATAAAGTTACTTTATAAGGAAATGTCATATTTGTCCTCCACTTTTAATATAAAACAAAAAGAACTATGGACATAATTGGAAAAAGTAAAAGTGCTCAATTATTAAACCAACAATCACAACAATCTCAACTTTTAGTTGAGATTGTACAATCCCTCATTTTTGTTGATTGTTGATGGGACCCACACAAAACAATACATGCATTGTTTTACAACTTGACACTTCCAAACATTGTATTGTGGACAATGCATGTATTTAACAAATACAACACTAACAATCACAACTTCCAAACGACCCCTAAGAGTTAGATGCTAGGATTGATTATTTTACTAATTCCTATACGGGACTACAAATTGAGATGGATAACCTACAAATTAAAACGAATAGATTGTGGAGGTCCATCAATTTTTCAAAAAATCGTTATAATCGTCTTCGTGTGATGCGTTCTGGAGACTTTCCAAGTTTATTGATATTTTAGGTATTTTATTTTTCCTTCATTTATTATAATGTTAGAGTTTGTGACCAAATTTCTTTCTTATATTGGAGTTTTCAATTTATTACAGTGATTGAAGTGTTTGATATGGGGAAACCATCATATAAATGTGAATATTGTGGAGCACTAATGTAGAAGGGCGAAAGTACCGAATTCACGAGGAACTCAAATCAACCAAAGTTTTCATTGTGTTGCAGACAAGGTAAAGTAAAACTCCCTCCTCAAAGACAACCTCCAAAGGTTTTGAATATGCTATTGCAAGCAAATACTTCAACTAGATGTCACTTTTGAGAACATATGCGAGGATATAATGGGGCCTTCTAATTGACTTCTATTGAAAGTAAACTGGATCAATCTATAAATGATGGACGCAGAGTATATGTTTATTCAATTTGAGGTCAAGTATATCATCGAATCGAAAGCCTGATACCTACCGAAAGAAACATACCAAATTTGCTCAACTCTACATCTATGACACTAGCAATGAACTCCAAAACATGTTAGATTTTTTCTCTACATATCCAGATGCAAATCCTTTGCGCGATTCAATTATTTAAAGTCATAAACTGGAGCAAATTAGTATATATCACCCAAATTTAATGGCTTTACAATATCCCATATTATTCGCACATGGTGAGGATGGTTGACACTCAGACTGTACAAACCAGATTTGAAGAATCGAAAGCATTGCTATTGTGTGGAAAGTTGTTCCACAATATGTTGTTAATGCATATGCATTGTTTGAGGCCGAGCGTTTGGATTGTGTTAAAAACAATCAAACAAAGCTGCAACAACATTACTACCAATGTCTTTTGGAGTCTTACTTGAGAGGTGATTCAGACACCAGTCTGAGTGGAAAACAATTGATTTTAGCTTCATAGTCCTCGCTATAAGTATAAAAGCTTTCAGGATGTATGACAATTTGTAGATGGGCAGGATATCCAGATCCTTTCATTACATTTATATGTAATCCTACTTGGGCTGAGATTTAGTACATGTTTGAGCTGACATCCTCGCACGAGTTTTCAAATTGAAGATACATCAATTGCTGAAGGAGATTTGGAAAATAAATTTTTCTGAAAACAGGTGCATGTAAGTTATATTCAATAATTTTACTTTAAGCATCCATAATTCGTCATATAATTATAGTTATGTAATATGTTTATGTTTTAGATTGTTTAAAATTTAAGTCTGTCTTTAAATAACTTTTATATGAAATTTCTTATTATATAACCTATAACATAAACATATTACATAACTACAATTACCCTTTACACTAATGTTAATTCACGTAAACATGAAAATATGAATTGGGAGTGAAAAAAAAAACAGAAAATGGACACGTGAAAGTTCAATAATGATCATTATAAAATACCAATGGGACAATGGGCTAGCTGAAATCAACGAAACTAAAAGGAAATTTTGAATAATTCGTAATTTTTTATTACTTTAATAGTTTTGAAATAAAATTATGAATAATTCAGTAAAATTTTGTTAGTTTATTATAACATTATTTTAATGTTTTGTAGTCAATTTATGTTTTTGTTTAGGACTACCAAGTATTTGTTCAAATATATCATCAAATATGAAGATAGAGTAATGACGGTGACTTTAGCATCTAAATCAAGTGGTAATGGAATGGAGAACACCAAAACTAGGAAAAATCTTCAGCATCATGTGTTTGTATGGATGAGATTAAAACATTTTTATACTGTCGATACATAAGATCAAGTGAGACATGCTTGAGACTTTTTAAGTTTGATGTTAGCTTTAATTCACCTTTTGTGTTACGTTTGTCATGCCATTGCCCGGGAAGAATAAAGTAGTGACAAAGGAGAATGAAAAATTGAAAAGGCTATAGAAAATAATGAAACATCAATGCTATTAGCATGGATGGAAATAAATGCTCATTCTTCTTAGGCACAGAAATATACCTTTGTGGAGCTTACTCAATATTTCGTTTGGTGCAAATGGATGAATATATAGTACGCCTTCTGACTCAACTTCTTTCAGAACATAAATTAGTCTCTGGTCTTCTGGCCGATAAAATACTTCAAGACGCTCGATGGATTAGAGAATATTGGGAAAGAGATGATTTTTAGTTGAACACTCTTCAGAGGTTGTTGAGTGAGCTGGCATGTATTTCTTGGCGACATCTTGGTCTAGTAAATCAAGTCTAACATGACTATTTTGGTTGGTAAAGAAACCTGAAAGAGAGGGCTAAAAAATCTTACCCTCGTGGGATTTGAGCTATGGTAATTGACAAAGAGACTAAAATATTACCACCTACTCAATTTTCAAATTTATTATAAAATTTACGTGTAAGTTTACATACTTTTAAGAGTTGAGTAACACCAATATAGCCACTAATATAAACCATAAAGTGATCATAATATGGTTTTCTTGTAACAATTGTTTAGTTAAGTTATTTACACGTTATGCACGTCCAAAGCTTAATCAAATGAATTAACAAGATAATGAAACAAAAACATCATTGTAAATGTGTAAGATAACGAAGGGTGAAGTTGAACTACAAGTGAAATTCGCGCCATAAACTACTTTATGTTGATTAATTGACATGTAAATCAATAAAATAAAGCAACGGCCAACGAGGCGTCCAAACCCTAGATTTATAATTTACATAAATCCTTTGTTGCTTGACCCCAAGGTACAAGCTTCCAGCTCCATTATTAGTTTATGACCAATAATGGACACTATAAGACACTATTGTGACTTGGATTAATTTCCATTGTCCGAGGAACTCAATAATAATAAGCCAAGAAATTTGATATAATAACACTGAGTACATTGACAGCTGATTTTAAACACAACCAATTAAGAAAATAAGCACCTGAACAGTTTCCTTTGTGCTATAATGTATTCTAAAAGCATATGCAAAAACAAGGAGGTCTAGCATCTTCAAAATCTAAGCCACAGAGGGTGATGCAATATGGTTCTTGTTCACCTGAGTACTGATTCTCCTCTGTTTTTGCAAGACATGTCGATCGAAAAAGACTTGTTCCGGAACTAAGCCTGGTGTCAGCTGCACTCCTTTCTTATAATGTAATCTACAGCCTCTTCTACAGTCTCCACAACCTACAAACAACATGAAGCAAACAGCATTTCATCAACACAACCATACGTCCTCGCTCGTATTGTAAAAGTCCAAACCAAATGATTTATCTGCTATACAGTCCATAATCGAGCTTCAGGAAACTGTTAAATGTTATTCAGTGGCGATGTTCTGTTAAGATTAACTGCACGTTTCGACTGATGGAAAAAACCGTATATATGAGTTCTGGTACCCCAGCTTTCATTAGGGCAAAAAAAAAATCGTGGAGTAGACTACTCTATTACTATGCTGCACATAAGTAACCACGTACCAAGTCAGCTGGAAACTTGTCATGGTTTCCGGTTCCCTTGAAAACCCCAGTTCTAGTCAAAATTGAGAACCAAGGATATCCAGCCTGAAATCAATGTATATGATAGTCAAACAAAAGACTGATCAAAAGCGTTTTTCGAGGTCGAAACATTTGTTGGTTCACAAAAAGAAAAAATGCTCAAGGGTCAGGTCCTTGTTCGTGAAACAAACCTGCCGTGCGCCTTTGATGTCAACGTCTGGATTATCTCCTACCATATATAGTCTTTCAAAATTATGCACTGCTGTACTTGCATTGTCAGGGGCTAGTCCACTGTCGGTGCAAGAAGAAACCAATTGCTTTAACACAGCTTCAGCATTCTTGAACACAAATGGATTTGGTTTCCCGTAACACGTATAACTAAGAGGATCATGATGAATTCTGCATGTTTCAAACCATATTACCCATGATCAGAATAGTACTTGTGACTGTTTCTTGTATAAAAACATAGTCAAACTGGGTTCTGCTACTCTATCTTAAAGATTCAGTTTCAGAACTTTCAGAATCCTCGTGGAAACCAGCAAGTTATGATCACCAGAAACAAAAACAAAACTGATTTTCCTAAGCGGAACCTGGCATACTGTTTTATGTTTATCCCACAAAATGGAAGCTAATTTCAGACTGACAAAATTGGTTATACCATAAATATGTTTTACCTGTTGAAGATGGATTCTAGTGCAATTCTGAAAGCTCCCAAACCAAAACGTTCTGAAGGAAATGCAGCCTTCCTTTAGCGGCACCACGTTAGTTTATTTTGACATGTAAATGATACAGAACTGAACTGAAAATTGATACCTCAAGCCTGCAAAAGTAACATTACTAACCTGGTAGGCAAGGTCATCATGAGCAAAATAAAGTTGTGGCTGGTGTCCAATCTCCCTTCCCGGAAGACCTCCTGTTCTTAGAATGTCACAGAGAACCTAACAATTGAACCCATCATTAATCTTCAACAAGTAACATATTATGTAATTGGAATAAAATAGCATAATAGTTTCTCTTAGGAATATAGAAATCGACAAAGTAATGCACCTGAATGTCTCTGCTCCAATCAATTGAATCACTGACAACAAACACAGCCTGTACTCTTTGTGAACAAATATTGTCGGTTGAGGTTCTGGCTTCTGAAACCCCATTGTGTTTGGGAACCTGTTTAACTTCCCAATTCTTGTATGGTGCAAGTGGATCAATCCCAGGAAAACAGGATGCATACTCATCTATAGAAACAACTTTTCTGCATAATAAACCATTGTGAACAAAAAAAATTAGGGCACAGTGAATAGTGTTCCCAGAGAGTTAAGTTCAAAATTTGAATAAAATCAAATGGCTCTGGTCCTACTTGAATCCATATTCAGACAGCACTGCAGCTGGCTCTCCTTTTCCAACTGCAACAACAAGTTCATTCTCAAGCCTGCAAGGTACACAATTGTTGCAACTGAATATATCGGCCAAAGCGAAACATATAGTAATATACACTAATTCCTCAGGTAGCTGCCACTAAAATCAACTCATTTCTCAATATTAGATATGGAATGCCAGAATATCTGCAGATGTGAGTCGTCCAACTTCTCTAACCTAATACTATCTTCACGTCCATGGAGTTCTAGCCAAGAAATCCCATGATTTGTGCTCCCTTTACTTCTTCCCGTCAATTGAACCATGTAGCAAGCAATTTAACACATTGAGGGGTGTGGTGAAATCAGAAAGAAATGTGTAACGCTGCTGTGGTATGTCCGTCTTATACTAAACCACAAGTATTGTCTACATAATTCACTTTCCTTTCAGCCTATGAAGTATGGTCCTTGCAGACTGAACTAGGAGCCAAGATCAGATTCATAAAATTGTGTGTTCACAAGCCAACTGATATTACCAACGAGTGCATTCATTCACTGAGTCTGTAAATCATACCTCTGCACCAAATTCTTAAAGGGAGTATGACCTTGTAGTACCTGGAAAATCAGGGAGAAGTTACTTGTCAGCAACACCATCAAAGCCCATTTAACAGCAAGGAACATACAGCCAAGTGCATATCAACCACTAAGTACCTGTAATGGCGAAACATTAATGCCCAAAAGTGTGCTCAACTCCAATGCTCTTATAGACTCGCGAAAACCACCACCTACAACAGAAATAACCAACACATGGTTCGTTTCTTCTCCAATCGAATGCGCCATAATCAAAGTGAGTGCAAGACGTCTTAGGAGCTCAAACGATTAGGGAAAGTAAAAAACTCGTGCTCACCATTGGTCAGGAAAACGTAAGGGATCCGTAAGGCACCTGCCAACATACAAGAAGAGAAATCAAATTCAACCATAAGCCGGCCTCGCCACGGGATCGGAAAAGTTGGAAACTGTATGCTCACCGGATTCTTCGTCGTAGAGGCGTTTGAGCGCTTGAGGGGAGCCGCCGATTGGCGATTCGCTGCGAAAAATGACGCCGTCGATATCGAACGCAATGCCAAAATGACGACGAGGAGGAGACCTGCGCCTGCATTATCGAAAATCACTGAGAATTTTAGGCGGGTGATTTTGAAACCAGAGATTGGGGAAAGGGAACGATAGAGAGAGGGATAGTGAGAAATCGGGGGGATCGGCAAGCGCACTTTCCCGCGAACTCGGACGACAAATGCGCGAAGGATCGCGAGAGGACGAGCGGCGGCTGTGGCGGTGGTGAAATACTGCTCGCGGTGCGCCGCCGCACCGCCTTTGCTAGAGTTCTGTACTGAAACCCCATTGCTCTCCGATCACTGTTTCCTTGCGAACGTTTGGTTGAAGAAGCTTTGCTCTGATTACTGAACTGACTTGGCCATTTACGAGCGTTTGGTTACTTGGCGGTCCGTTGCGTCATTTGCGAATTTTCACCTTTTTTACACTAACGCCTAACGGTCACTGAGCATTGGAGTCATTAGCAAATTAGTCACTGTACTTAGATTCTTATCAAATTTGTCATTAAAGTAAGTGTAGACTAAGACAATAGTCACCTCTTCAAACTAATAATGGCAATGGGACCGGCGGGGTGGGTACATCAATATCAATGTTCCGTCCCGCGCTAATTTGGGTCATACCCACGTGAGTATGGGGTGAGCGGGTCGATCCACCCTAATATGTTATTTGATAAAAATGCACGCACATTTTTTAATTTTTACGATAAAACGAAAGAAATTACTTTATGAATGAAAAACAGTGATACCATAATGGGTAATTGAGTCTAACTAGTTGAAAGATCATGTGTAACTAGTTGAAGAAAAATCAAAATATGAGAAATATGAATAGATATTGTAAGAAATTGAGATAGAATGGGCCAAGAACGGGGCAAGAAGGTCGAAAGTAAATGCCCACGCCCCACTCCAAATTATTGCAGGTCGGGTAACACCTGACGAGGCGAGTTCAAGTTGCCACCCCTACTTCAAACTTTTCACCGGCTCATGATAGTTCTAGTTGATGAGTTAGTTCATCAAAATCATATAAAACAAATAAAAATAGCATAGACTCTCTAGATCTCATCTCTATACCAATGTTTTTTTGGGTAACCTCTTCTTCTTTCAATCTCATTTTTGTTAGTTAATTAACAAAAAACACAATTGTCTCACTAATGTTTGAATCAAACTTATGTGTATTCAAGACCTAATATCACAACAGAAGATTGGTACACTACGTGTAGATAGAGGGCCATATATGTTTGGGGACGAAGCTGAGAGCTCAAAACCAACATACATAGAGTCTATGGAGTTAAACCTAGTAAGGATTCTACATTGTGACATCTAAGACTAGGACATTTTTCTCCTCCTATATTGAAAACTATCCAAAAATAGTGTAGTGATTTTTTCATACCTTCAATTCACAATGATAATTTGTCAATTGTCTAAACAGAAACGATCCTCTTTCCTTTGTAGTATGTCGAGTATTAAGTTTGTGTTTGATATGATCCATGTGGATATTTTGGGACCAATTGATGTTATTTGATTTCACATAATGGTTATAAGTATTTTATTTACTATGATGGATGATTTCAATAGTTGCACATGAATGTTTCTTATGAGTGCTAAGTCTGAAGCTAGACATATCTTGCAATCTTTTTGCTTAATGGTAAAAACAGAATTTGAGAAGAGTATCAAGATCATATAGAGGTGGTAATTAATCCAATCCACCAATTCCTGCCAAATCAACTAATTCAATCCATTCAAATTCAATCCATTTGATCCAAATTCAATGGGATTGGTGGATTCATGGATTGGATTCATGAATCGTTGACAAATTAAAGTAGAGTACCTATGTTTCTTGTATTTATTTTATATGCAAAATATCATTAGAAAATTATGTTTTGGTACCTATATTTTTTATGACATTTAGTACCCAAACTTTTACAAATTTGCATATTGGTCCAAAAATTGGATGTCATTTGGAACAATGGATCAATCCACCAGTCCATTTGATCCATGGATCTACCAATCTCATCCACCAATCTATGGATCCAATCCATTTGCCACCTCTAAGATCATACGATCTGATCAATGGCAGGAATTCAACATGGTTGATTTTTATCAAGAATAGAGCATTATACACCAGATGAGTTGTGTAAGGATTGCACAATCGAATGATATGATTGAGAGAAAGCATCAACACCTTTTAAACGTTGCTAGATCTCTTAAAATTCAGTTAGAAATGCCTAAGAGTTTCTGGAGTCATTTTTTATTCATGCAACCTATCCAATTTAATTAACAACATCTCCACACTTGTTTTATATAACAAGCTCACCTTTTTAGTGCATTTATGGAGTTCCCCAGATACAATGTCTTGAGAGTTTTTGGATATTTGGTCTATGCCACTATGTTGGATAATCACACAGGAAAGTTTGATCCTAGAGCACGAAGATAAGTTTTTCTTGGTTGTCCATTTGATGTCAAAGGTTTCAAATTAAATGGCCTGGATAATCTGCAGGTTTTTGTCAGCGGGGATGTGGTACTCCATGAGGCATGTCCAATCTAATTCTACTTCTTCCTTTTCTCCGCAATCCCCTTTATGGAACTTGCCCACACTTCCCTTCTAGCTAGATAGCTCCTCTTTCTTGCGAATTTCAAGGAGATTTGGAACGAGTCAGGTTCAAAAATCTTAAATGAGGTCGCCAATTTGTGTCACAGTCCACCATGCACAACCCCACCAGTGTCTCCTCAACCACCCCCTTGCATTGGTTCCCCAACTTTAGGAACCCCGATCTATAGTCTGCCACCGTCCCAATATGCTTCAGCTTTGCCAAATGCTCTGGTGCTCATCCCTTAGCCTTGCCAAACTAGTACTTAAGCTCCGCCTAGAACATGGGCAATGTGATAAGGGTCTTCGCTACAACATATGACCTCCCCATCCACTCCCACCACTGCAAGGCATCTACCCCCAAGCATGGTCCATGAAACCGTATCGTACCAGCAGTTCAACCACAAAATACCAGTATCGGAGGCTAAACCGGTAAGCGGTATTTAACGGTATGAACGTTTGAACTACGGTAAAACCACGGTTTTGTCATAAAATACCCTACCGCTGACTTTTCCGGTACGGTGTCCGGTACGGTTTCATGGACCATGCCTCCAAGTAGAAGGACGCCAGATGTGCCTTCCTCTCCTCTATAGTCGGGTGATTCCTAAACCACCTCTCCGCCGCGTATAACCACAACCACAAGTCTCTTGGCCATCGAACCTAGGAAACTCAATGATCGGTGGTTTAACCCTAAAAATCAAATCATTGTCACTGTCATACATAGGGTTATAACCTCCATACCTGCCAATGCCCGAACACGACCGTCGCTTGCCTCCTCGAGTGCCACTTCTTAGTCGTACTGTGGTGGTTTAGGGAAGGACCAATCCTCACCCTCTTCCATGTACTCTTCTAGGTTACTTGAGTTCACCCTCGAACCCTATCTAGCCTCCAGACCTTGCCCCACTTGATCCACTAGTAATGTCACCAATAGAGGATATCCCCAGTCTGTCGCATGTTGGTGGCCGCCTCGGCCCCCAAGACCTCCTCCACTGTTGCTCGTGTTGATTCGGTCCAATTCAGCTCGGTTTCGATTGATTTTGGTCCATCCAGGTTGGTCCGGCTCATGCCACCTAGTCTGGTTTGGATAAGTGACCTTGCCCAAACCTGCTCCGCCTGGGTTGGCCCATCTGCCTCCATGGCTCGCTAGGCTTAACTCATCTTCCTCTCATCCATAGTTTGGGCCTAGATGGCCTAATTCTCTTGCTACTTCTGTCCCACGAACTACTAGTCCACATGGGCAAGACCCACCTTCATAGCTCGTAGGCTCTAGCTCGCTAACCTACCCTTCTACGAACTGCATCAATCTCTTGGGTCATGGGTCTGGGTAGTATGCTCGTTCTCCCTTCCGGCCCATTATAAGCCTGGACCTCCAGGCTTTGTCTCCCTTGACCCGACCGTCCTCAACCACCACCGCCAGCCAGCGAAGCCACCACCTCCCCCTCGTTTTTTGTCGGTGTTGTCATCCCTCCGAGCTTCGGGGCAAGTGTCACCTCTGTGTCGGGCTTCGCCCCGCCCCAGTCTGATCGCTCTCTCGATGCCATGGCTCTTGTTAGAACCTCCATTGCCTGAGCAATCATAGTGATCGATCGCTCAAGCTTCCCCATCGCCTGCGTCATCACAGTTTGGAGCCATTATAATCGCTAATCCGGGCGTTAGCCCGTCTCCTTCACCTGGGCTTTCGCGTCACCCTGATGCTCTATCAACTTGTTCATCATGTTGATCATCGCCTCGTGTTTGGTAATGTCTTTGACTGTGAGTGCCATTCCAGCATCCTTCTGCAGATTCGATGTCTTGTCAGATGAAGGTGTCATCTTCTCATAACTCCATGCCAACCATGCTTTGTTATCGCTGAAAGAACTATGGATCTAGACGGTCCGTCTAGGGTTCTAGTCTTAAAGATTTGTGGAAAATTGAGAGGAAATTTTGGGAGTAGGGATTGAGTAAAGAAAGAAGAAGAGGGTTAATAGAAGGAAGAAAAAGAAAATCAATCACAAAGGGGAGGGATGGGTGACTGCTAGAAGAGGGAGAAAGAGAGAGTTGAGCTTGAGAGAGAGAGTATTAGGATTAGAGATCATTAATTTGTAAGTGCTTAATTACAGAACTCCAACCAATTGAGATAAAACGACAAAGGAGTACCAAATAATAAAATGGAATCAAAAACTATGTTTCTAACAGAAAATCATCCATCAAGCTCGCAATGAGTTGCAATGTAATAGCAAAACGTGATAAGCAAACTAGCTAGCTAGGTTCAGTAATGAAAAATGTATTTATGCATCAAAACAAAGAGAGATTGTTTCACACAGACTTGAATTTGTATGGATCTTTACTTAGGTTTCTGTCTACATGTTGTAACTCTTCCAGGTGACAAATCATGTAGGTGAGACGTGGTTTGAAGCGTTTGCTGAACTTATCTCGACACCTACAGAATGGACGCCAAAATGAATTTGTGGTTAGTATCTTGATTGATGGAACAAAACTTGACATTCTGTTATGTAAAATAAATAAATAAACATGGACGAAATGGAGAAATTGTTTACCCCGAAAAATCCTCAAGTTCACGCAGCCGGTGAAACTCATTCACCTGGACACATATCCATGTTTTTGACAGAAAATCATCCATCAGGCTCACAATGAGTTGCAATGTAATAGCAAAACGTGATAAGCAAACTAGTTAGCTATGTTCAGTAATGAAATTTATGCATCAAAACAAAGAGAGATTGTTTCACACATTGACTTGAATTTGTATGGATCTTTACTTAGGTGTCTGTCTACATGTTGTAACTCTTCCAGGTGACAAATCATG